GGTTTGAGCAAGCCGATGGCTCCCTGATGGGAGGGACTCTTGTCACACAATTAACTGAGCCCTTACGCCTAGAAATAGGTGCGCACTGGGAGTTTATTCACATCCTAGTGGCTCCAAAAATGACTGAGACTGTGATCCTAGGGCTAGCCTGGTTGGACAAATGGAAGCCGTTTATCTGGTGGGAGAAAGGAATGAGAACTGTGAGGCTACCTATAGGACATAAACCTCCCGCTGATTTAACCGATGTTGCGGGACACCTTAGGCCACCCAATGAGCGAGCGCACATGGCTGCCTCACCGCCACCAGGCGAACCACTCATCCCCAATGAATACCGGGACCTAGCGGAGGCATTCAGTGAAAAAGAATGCGATGCCCTGCCCCCTCACAGACCCAATGACTGCTCTATCGAACTGGTGCCAGAAGCCAAACTCCCACCCCCGAGAATGTAGGCTATGTCCCCCCTCGAAATGGATGAGATGCAGCGATACGTGAACAAAAACCTAGCAAGGGGGTTCATTGAACGGGCCAAATCTACCGTGGGAGCCCCTGTGCTGTTCAAAGAGAAAAAAGATGGGTCTCTTCAACTCTGCGTAGACTATAAGGGTCTCAACGCTGTGAGTGTGGAAAATAAATACCCCCTCCCCCTCCTAAAGGATTTATTAACCTATCTGGCTAAGGGGAGTGTCTTCACTAAATTAGACCTGAGAGAGGCATATTACCGGGTGAGAATAAAGGAGGGAGACGAGTGGAAAACTGCCTTCAACTGCCCCATGGGGAGCTATCAATTCAAGGTCATGCCATTTGGTCTACAAGGAGCCCCAGCCGTATTCATGCAGTTGATTAATGAGGTCCTACATGATCACGTGTACAAGGGGGTTTAGGTGTATCTTGATGACATCCTGATATACAGCACGAATATGACTGATCACATAAAGCTGATGAGAGAAGTGTTAAAGAAACTATTGAATGCCAAGCTTTATGCCAAATTGTCAAAATGTGAATTTCACCAGACCCGATTAGATTATCTTGGCTACAGAATTTCCAACGAGGGTATTGAAATGGATCCAGCCAAGGTGAAAGCTATAATCAAATGGCAGCCCCCCAAAACTTGCAAACAGCTCCAGAGCTTTCTGGGTTTTGCCAACTTTTATCGTCAATTCATCCCCTCTTTTGCCGAGATTGCCCTACCCCTTACAGAACTACTCAAAAGAGGCAAAGGAGGAGGGAAGCCACGACCGGGCAAGCCACTAGCATGGACGATGAGCTGTCAAACAGCTTTTGAGAATTTAAAGAGACAATTTGCTGCTGAACTGGTCCTAAAGCACCCCTGCCCAGGGGAGCCCTTTGTGATTCAAGTCGATGCCAGCAATGTGGCAGTTGGAGCTGTATTACTGCAAAAGAACAAAAGTGGGGTCCTGCAACCCTGCGCCTACACCTCTAAGAAATTTACTGAAAGCGAGCAGAGATGGGCAATCTGGGAGAAGAAGGCCTTCGCGATTAGGTGGGCGCTATTAAACTGGCGACACTATCTAGAAGGGAGCAAGGTGCCATTTGAAGTATGGACAGATCCCAAAAATCTAGAAGCACTGAAAACTCCCCGCAAATTGTCCCCAAAGCAAGTGCGGTGGGCACAGTACTTTAACTGCTTCAACTTCACTCTAAAGTACATACCAGGAGGTAAAAACGTCCTAGCTGATGCGCTATCCCGGTTACCCCAATACAAAAGTGAACAGGAGGAGGTTAACGAGGCAATTATCCCCAATCCACAAACTGTCGCTCAACTTACGCCTCGCAGGGTCCCCAATCCTGATGACCCTGGGGTAAAGAAAATAAAACGAGAGCTCCTCACTGATCAATGGTTCAAAGATAATCAAACCTCCCTAACGTGCAGGGATGGCTTGGCTTACAAAGGGGGGAAACTATATTTGCCTGAAGCCCTCCATCTTAATGGTCTCAAACACAGCCATGATGTAAAACAGGCTGGACACTTTGGATATTTGAAAACCCTACACCTCACCCGCCGGCAATTTTGGTGGCTGGGGCTGAAACGGGATGTGGAAAACTATGTAAAAGGTTGTACTGTATGTGCCACATTGAAAAGAATCCCAGGGAAAACCCCCGGGTTACTGCAGCCGGTGGCAGACCCTTCTCAACCCTGTGAAGAAATAGCTATGGACTTTATAGTAGACCTACCTGAAAGTAGAGGAAATACTGTCATCTGGACTGTAATAGACCTGTTCTCGAAGCAGGCTCATTTCATCGCCTGCAAAGGACTCCCATCTGCCCAACGACTGGCCAAATTGTTCCTGAAACATATCTACCGGCTGCATGGCGCCCCTAAGCAAATAATTTCGGACAGGGGGGTGCAGTTCACAGCGAAGTTTTGGAAGAGTTTTCTTAAATTAATTGGATCATCTCAAGGTTTATCATCTGCTTTTCATCCAGCCACCAATGGGGCTGCAGAATCCGCTAACAAAATGGTGGAGCAATATCTTAGATGCTACGTTTCTTACCAACAGACGAACTGGACTGACCTCCTCCCTTTCGTGGAGGTGGCGTACAATAATTCTGTGCACAGCAGCACCGGCTACACGCCTTTCAGAGTGGCCACAGGAAAAGAGTTCAGCCCAATACCTGAATACCCTCAGGTGCCCTCTGCTTCCCAGACACTTGACCAATGGGTGAGGGGGTGTGAAGAAGTTTGGAGAAACACAAAAACTACTTTAAAAAATACTTTTGAAACCTATAAAAAGCAGGCTGATAGAAAGAGGGCTCCCCAAAGAACATTCCAAGTTGGGGAAAAGGTTTATCTGTCAACTAAATATTTACGCCTCAAATTGCCCAGCAAGAAATTGGGACCAAAATTCTTGGGGCCTTTCCCCATAGTAAGGATTATCAATCTGGTCACCGTAGAACTAAAACTCCCTAGACTTTTAGGGAGAATTCACCCAGTCTTCCATTGCAGCTTGTTGAAACCTTATCGGGGCTCCACTTTAAGACCTCCACTAAGAAGGCACCCAGGCCCCTCATAGCTGCGGGACAGACCCACTATGAAGTGAAACGTATTCTTGACTCTAGAATCTTTAAAGGGAAATTGCAGTACCTAGTACAATGGAAGGGATACCTGTTGTCTGAAGCCGCCTGGGTGAAATCCAGCAAGGTGAAAGATGATAGACTCATCAAAAGGTTTCATGCGAAATACCCCAAAAAAACGAAAAATAGCCCCTAACATATGCTTTTGTTTACATTCCAGGATCTGTTTTTTTTAAAGGGGGACTGGATGTCAAAGCTGCTAACATTGGATGTTCTTGCTCTGACAAAATATGCAGAGCTGTGTGGTATTTTTAGAGTTAACTCAGAAGATGCTGGGAGGAGGAAGAATGTATGAGTTGCAAACGGAAGAGAACCTTTGCCCTTAAAACTAATTGGAGAATGTAAATCATGACAGCAAAATAAGGGAGGGAAAATGCTAGCAAAAATAACTGCTCGGGGGGTGGAGATTTCAGATCTTAGCATCCCCTCTTCATGCCGTGCCGACATTTTGTCACATGAATAAAAAGACTTTTTAGGATAAACAATGCCTGGAAGTTCTTTGAAGTGTTTCATTAGTCAGAACCATGACACCAGACTTGCTGTCTCCAGGCAGGTAATTAAGTTTTGGGCGGGAACTGTTACTTTAAACCTATTGGCTGCCGCCTGGAGGCTAACCATATAAATAGCTGTGCAGCAGCTATTTGAGTTGCTTCTGTTCAGAGTTAAATAAACTTGTTGCTGTTTCAACACTCGTCTCGCTTAATGCCTTCAAGAACCGAATACTTAACAGTGGCGACGAAGGTGGGATGTGCTGCTTTATCATAAAGTCTGAAGTCACTAGGGGGTGAGGCCAGCACAGAGCCTGGCAGGAACTATGTTCCCCCCTCCCCTCGGTCTGCCAAGCAAGCCACGCTGGAGACCACCACGCCCTAAGGATCCATCCTAGGGCCTACGCAGAAGCCAGCAGCACAAGGCAACGTGAGCAACAAGAAACGCAAGCAACTCACCATGGCGAAAGTGGGGAAACTCGAAGAGTTCGACGTCAACCACCCAGAGCGATGGGCGTCCTACATTTCCCATGTAGAAAACTACCTCCACGCCAACCAGGTCGCCGAAGATGGACTGAAGGCTGCGACCCTCCTCTGTGTGTGCGGCCCCGCCACCTTCGACATTGCAGAAAACCTGGTCGCCCCGACGCCGCTCGAGTCCGTCACCTACGCAGACTTGAAGAAAAGGCTCTGAGACCATTTTGAGCCACAATTATCTGTGATAGTGTGCAGGCACGCTTTTGAGCAGCGGGAGCAACAACCCGGCAAATCGGCCACAGAATTCATCGCCGCTCTTCGTCAAGTGTCCCGACTCTGCAATTTCACAGATTTGGAGGAGAGACTAAGGGACCGTCTAGTCTGTGGCCTCCAGAATTGAGAGCTCCAACAAAAACATTTCACTAAGGAGACTCTGTCGCTACAGGAGGCCTTGAAGGAGGTCATGGCGGACGAAGCCACCGGAAGGGCTGTTAAAGCGCTGCAGCCCTCCAAAAGCGCGTCAAGCACTGAAGCAGTCCACCACGAGGACGGCGAGCGAATGGAAGACACCGACTCAGACTACGAAGTCAACAAGCTACAGAGGCACCAAGAGAAGGGACCGAGGCCAGCTGACAAGGCAGTTCCGTTCCTTAGGTGCATGGGTTGCGGAGGCCATCAATGCACGGAATGTCATTTCCGTACAGCAATGTGCCGGCCGTGTGGCAAGTCAGGCCACATTGCCGCCATCTGTCGAGGTCGCCAGAGGGACCATCCACAGGAAGACTCAATCAGGAGAGGTACCGGGGCCCCGGGGCAACACTGAGTAGGGTTCTGCGCCAGCCGAAGGAGCGTTCTCCGCACTGGTGCCCATCACCCCCTTAAGCCGAAGCTTCGACTCCAAGTCAAGCTCCATTTAAGATGGAACTAGACACAGGCTCAGCCATGTCCATCATCTCTATAGGAACATTTAGGCACATATGCAGCCGCAGCAATAGATGGGCCAAACTTCGGCCATCTAATTTAATGCTCACCGAATTCCAAAACTCCCGAGTGGTGGTCAAGGGCGAAGCCACACTTCTAGTGAATTTCAGGGGGTTTGCAGGCCCACTTGATGTTGTTGTGGTAGAAGGCCAATGCACAAGCCTCATAGGGCTTGATTGGTTCGACGCATTGGGCATTCAAATAACCGGCATTCACTGGACACAAGCGGTGGATTTGTCTTCAGTCTGCCAAGAATTCTCAGATGTTTTCAGTTCATGCCTAGGGGAGTACAAGGGTCCTCCGATAGCCTTCAAGCTTGATCCTATGGTAACGCCAATACGGATCAAGCCTTGTCGAGTGCCTTTTGCTTTAAAACAAAAAATCGACGCAGAGCTGGACAAGCTGGTCAGTCGGAATATTGCAGCCTGTAGACAGTGGGGAGTGGGAGACCCCCATAGTAATGCCACTAAAGGCCAACGGGGAAGTGCAAATATGCGCTGACTACAAGTGTACTATTAACTGGGCACTTCCGCAGCACGCGTACCCAGTGCCAGTTGTCAGCCATATTTTGGCGTCATTGCAAGGTGGCCGCATGTTCGCCAAATTAGATTTGGCACAGGTCTACCAACAGCTGCCAGTGGACGAGGCCACGGCAGCCGCCCAAACCATCGTCACTCATCGGGGGGCCTTCAAGGTCAAGCGCCTACAGTTTGGGGTGAGTGTAGCCACAGGGATTTTCCAGGGAGTAATGGAGCGAACGCTCAAGGACATTCCAGGGGTCTGCCCATACTTCAATGATGTTCTCATCACCGGAGAAACCGCAGAGGTCCCAGCTGAACGGCTTAGAGCTGTCCTTCAGCAGTTCCGCACAGCGGGACTCAGATTAAAGAAAGAAAAATGCAAGATTGTGGTTGAGTCAATGGAGTTCTTGGGGTTCTGCATTGATGCCAACGGCATCCATCCGGCAGACTCAAAGCTGAAAGCAATTCAGCAGGCCCCAAGCCCGAAGTCCAAGGGAGAGCTTCAGGCCTTTTTGGGCCTTCTTAATTTTTACCATGCCTTCCTTCCAAACAAGGCCGCTGTGGCAGAGCCGTTACACCGGCTCTTGGACAGACAAGCCCAGTGGAAGTGGACCAGCATCCACGAAAGGAGTTTCCAAGCAGTCAAATCACTGCTGTCCTCGAACTCTGTACTCACGCATTTTAATGAAAGGCTGCCAGTCTGCATCGCGTGTGATGCATGTCCGTATGGGGTTGGGGCTGTGTTGAGCCATTTGTCGGCTGATGGGAAACAGTCTCCCATCGCCTACTATTCTAGGACCCTGTCGTCCGCTGAGCGCAACTATGCGCGAATTGATAAGGAGGCTTTGGCAATCGTGGCTGGAGTTAAAAAATTCCACGACTACTTGTACGGTCGCCAGTTCATGGTATTTACAGACCACAAGCCACTCCTAGGGTTGTTCACTACGAACAAACAGACACCCCAGATTCTGTCACCTCAAATGTTGAGGTGGTCTATTTTTCTGTCAGCCTACAACTACAGGCTGGTTCACAAACTGGGCAAAGAAATGGGCCATGCAGACGGCCTTAGCAGGTTGCCCCTACCACATGTAGAGCCAGCTCCAGCTCCAGCTGCACACATCCTGGCTATCCAGGATCTGCCGGAATCTCCCCTTCATGCTGGGGACGTAGCTGCTGAGATGGCAGCTGACAAAATACTGAGTAGTGTATTGAATTGGGTGCACACAGGATGGCTAGACAAATGTCCAGACCCAGAATTTCAGAGCTTTTTCATGCGAAAAGATGAGCTTTCAGCTCATAAAGGGTGCATCCTTTGGGGAAGTAGGGTCATAGTTCCCAGCTCGTTAAGACCCAGAGTGCTTGAGTCTCTGCACGAGGGCCATCCGGGAATAGTCCGGATGAAGGCACTCGCGAGGAGCTACCTTTGGTGGCCTGGGCTAGATAAGGCTATCAAGGCCCAAGTACATGGTTGCATCACGTGTCAACAGTCCAGACCGGAGATGCCACAAGCCCCTGTCCACTGATGAGAGGACACTCACACACCGTGGTCAAGAATCCACATTGACTTTGCCAGGCCCTTTCAGGGGCAGCTGTTTTTAATAGTGGTTGATAGCCATTCAAAATGGTTAGAGGTTGCACCAGTTCCCAATATGACTACTGCCAGGACCATCCAGGAACTGCGCAGAATCTTTGCAACATACGGGCTTCCAGACGTCTTTTTTTTTTTTTAATAAAATTTTTATTGATTTTTATAATTAAACAACAAAGATTATGATGCATTTACGTACATAAACAAAAAAGAAAAAATAATCCAAATCGATACATTTTCAGAGACGCTCGGCAGTCCCCGCCATGCCTCCACCCTCATCCACTTTCCTTTCCTTCCTCCCTCTGACCCCCAACCTCTCCACCTT